CATCATGAAATATTGAGTACAGTATTTTTTTTAACATTTTTTTTTAAGTTTTGCCGTTGATTCTTAATAAATATGACATTTAAATGACAAGAAATACCCTTGACATTGGTGTAGGCTGTCTTTCAGATTCCTTGTGTGTCTTCTCTCCATAGAAAATGGTCGACAAAGAAAACAATGCAGAAAATAAAATTGCGGAAACATGCGATTATAATAAGAGCAAATTAAGTCCTTTTTCTCTCTTTTTCAGGGGAAAAAATCCAAAATAATACACGACAAAACAGCTTCTATTTCTTCATACAAGATGATTCGAAAGTCCATGGTTTTTTTTTTTTATTGCGTTTTCTCATTTTCAATTTTTTTTTCCTGAAGTTTTTTAAAGTTTTTTTTTAATTTAATTTCCCCCTTTTTCCCTCGGCGTTACACTTGCGTTGCTACAGATGGCTCTCGCAGAATCATTGTGGGGATCACTGATCAGCGAGGTCTAAAGATCCCTGGACTCCGTCTAAGTTGCTTGGGAAAGGCACACTGTGGTAAGGAAGCATAAGGCTGTCGACAACATGGGGGACTTTACCAGGGAGAAGATGAACACCTGATGGCTATAATGATATGACAACGGACCTCTTCATTTACTCTTCTTCAATTTTGGACTTTGGGCGACCGGGCTTTCCCATTTGCACAGGACTCATGGCGCGACCAACAGATGCCGAGCTGCGATTCTTGGCACGAAGTTTTGCAACCGCATTCTCTGCCATGTCGGCACGTTCGTCAGCATCTTCCAGTTCCTGTTGGACCTTGCGGAATTTGGCGAGATTCAAAGCTGCGATTTCCTCGGCCTCTTCAATCTGCCTCTTGTAGGTCTTGATCTTCTGTTGCAGTTTGTCGACCAGGTCTTGCATACGTTCGTGATTCTTGCGGTCTTCATCTGCCTGGAACTGCAATTCCTTAACCCGGCGTTCGGATTTCCTGACGTTCTTGGCTGATTCGGAATGACGTCTCTGTTCGTTCTCCAACTCTGTCTCCAATTCACGAACCTTCTGTTCGAGTTTTTGAATGATTTTCTTTCCTCCCTTGAGAGCAGCTGCCTCAGCTTCATCCAAACGGATCTGCAATTCCTTGATCTGTCCTTCCATAGCCTTGCGCATCTTCTCTTGTTGTAGAGCATGTTCCTGTTCTGCGCGGAGTTCGTCAGCCAAACGAGCGGCATCGACCATGGCCTTCTTGGCCTTCTCTTCAGAAGACTTGGCTTCATTGAGCATCTCGTCTAAGTCGGAGTGGAGGGCCTGGACCTCACTCTCCAATTTCCTCTTGGCCATTGAAAGGGAGGATGCTTGTGCAGAGAGCTCGTTTACATTCTCGTGGAGTTCTGCAAGCTCGCTGTCTGCAGCACGGCGAGCACGGTCAGCCTGTTCAAGAAGCTGCCTGCTTTCTTCCAGTTCTCCGTGCATGGCGTTGCATCTCCTCTCTGACATGGCGTACTGTTCACGAACTTCATCCCTAGCTCTCTGTTCTTCTTCCAAGGATTGTTGGAGTTCCTTGATTTGGATTTGGTGCTTCTTGATGTTCTTCTGAGCCTCAGCGTTTGCCTTGTTGGCATGGTCCAACGCAATCTCCAATTCGTTGATGTCGCTTTCCAACTTCTTCTTCATCCTGAGTGCCTCAGCCTTGCCCTTGGTTTCAGCTTCCAGACTGGCTTGCATGGAATCGATGGCACGTTGGTGGTTCTTCCTTGTGTTGTCGAATTCCTCTTCTTTCTCTTGCAGTCTGCGGTCGATCTCTT